TCACTCAGAGCATCCCCACAGGGTGATGGGGGGTGGCACCATGCCGGAAGCTGTTAGTGGGCATCTTTGCCCTCCAGATGATTCCAGCCCTGGCTGAAGTTGCTGGTCTGTTAACCAGGGTCTAGGAGAGGGGTGCTCAATCCCTGGCCCACAGGCCAGATCCAGCACCCAGAGCCATGTCATCCAGCCTGTGGAGCCTCCCCATGGACCTGTGGGGTACCTGCAGGCTGCAGATTGGGTGCACAAGGTGGTTCATGGCCTTATCCCGGTGTGCAGGGTTTGGCAGGGGCAACATGGGGCCTAACACTGGCTGGGAGGAAGCAGCGTGGGTCCTCAAGGCCCAACCCCAGCACACAGTGGCTGGGCACAGGCAGTGTGGTGCCTCTGGAGCCCAATCCTGGTTGGGCAGGGGCTAGGGGGAGATGGCACAGGGCCTGATCCAGTCCATGAACTGGCCCTGCACCATTCATTTGGTCAAAACTGAGCACCACTGCTGTAGGCGGTCCTGGCAGCTCCTTTCCCCCCCATCCCCCTGGGGTTTTCCAGTTTTTACCACAATAAAGTCCCACACATCAAGCCCAAGAACATCCCGTGAGACACCAGGACATGAGGAGCAGCATCCCAAAGCAACAAGGAGCCAGGGGCCATCGAGGCAAGGGCGAGAGAGGCAGCTCCCAGGACAGGCGGGAGAAAATGCTTAGAAGGGAACAGTGAAGGCTCCTAGCTGAGTGTCCAGCGGAGAACATTCCCAGCAGTGCAGTGGGCCTGGTCCGGCAGGTACCACAGCATTTTTATCTGCCCTAGAAAAAATATTCACTTCTGGAATATATCACATGCATCAGGCCTGCAGGAATTCTTGTCAGGCACTGAACACAGCTTGGCTTTGTTACATGCCTGCTCGAGGTTTAACTGCTGAGCCCAGCCCTATAATTTACTAATGAAGAGTGTTAAGATAATTGATGGGGACCAAGGCCTGTGCTACCACGTGGGAGGAACGGAGATAAACCTCTCCCATGTGCTGCACCAACACGCCAGTGTGTGCAAGCTCCCAGCTTGTATTTGTATTTAAAATCATAATACCAGCCCCTCCTGCCCTGGAGACCACCTGACTGTGAGCAGAAAGAACGTGCTGCCTGAGTCCGCAGAGATGCTCGAGGTGCATCTGTGCTGGAGGACAAGGGGGCTTGCTCTTATCATGCCTGGCTGCTTAATAGAAGCAATCTGGTTATTTCCATGGCTTAGCCATTTGCTATAAACTTGGACTTGAGCTGGTGACCGGCGCAATGACTCAGGAAGGTGACCTTGCCTTGCCTCGTGTTTGCACCCAATTCTGATGAGCTGCCCCCACTTCAGGGCCCACAGAACAGCCCTTTTGGCAGCAGAGATGCAGCTGCCGACACTGGAAGTCTGCATCTGGACCAGAAAGCAACCTGCCCTCCAGTCTCTGCTCCTTTCATCTCACCAGGATGTGAGCTCTGAAGCCCACCAAGGAGGATTTAAGATGGCAAGCTTAGCAGAAACATCCAGGTGACTCAAGGGACTGTGGCTGGAACTCGCCAAGAACACCAACAGTGTCTTCTACCCACAGCTGGCCTTTCTGCTCAAGCAAGCCCTCGCCACCCCCCAGCTGTCACATCACAGTATCAGTTAACTTACTGCTTGTAACTTTTTAAATTAAAGCCAAGTGAGTGATGAGCTCCCAGCAGGGTTTTCTCAGACAGATGCTGGTGGTGCCTAGGATTAATTACTTGCATTCCAAAACTGGCTGGAGACTCCAGCAGAGAAAGTGGGCCAAGAACAGTAGGATCTGTATTTAATACAAAATGAGAAATATAAAGTGAGGAGCCCACACTTGAATTAGACAAAACCAGATGGGGGAGAGAGGGGTCGATGCAGCCAACCATGAGCGTGTCCGCGTTGCAGCAGCACATGTCCTTTCTTCTGCCAGCAGGGAAGGACCAGCTGTATGGACTCAGCTGAGCTTTCTGCCAGCTATTGCAGCCCCTTTGCCAGCTGGTGCTTCCCAGGGTGCACCCCACACCCTGCCAAGGTGCCTCCCATGCCCTGCCAGCACAGCTGCTTAAGCCAAGCTGCCCAGGTCTAACGAGCTATGCAGAGCCTTCAAGAAGACATGTGCTGTGGGCTTCCTCCCAGCAGCTGCTCTCTGCCACCAGAACTTCTAGCAGTCACATGAAAGGAAGGCCTTGGATTGCAAGTGCAGCAGGGCACCGACTAGCCCCCATGTGCCCAGCGCCTGGCACCACAGACACCCAGTCCTCTCTGCAATACAAACAGTCAGTGTCGGCCTGGAGATGGCAGCTGCCCGCCCGATGTATCTGCATTTGGAATTCACTGATCACTGCAGTATATTTTGCTCTTCCCAGTTCCCTGAGGCTGGAACACGGCCCGAGGGCAGGGCAGAGGGAATGGGCTTAGGCTCCGATCCCACAACAAGCACCAGCCAAGTGAATCACTGCACCCAGACAGATCTCAGCAGGGCTGAGGCTGCATCAGGATGTTTGGGGGCAGTGATGGGAGAGGGACTGGGCTGAGCTGCTGCCACATTCTGTTTTCCCAGGTATTAAGCACCACCGTCCTCTCTGCCCCAGGCCTCCAAGATCACAGCACGGCCGCGGACATCCCTCTGGCGAAGAACGTGACATTCCTGTCCTGAATTTTGTACTGGTAGGTTCGGGGGAGATCCCTCTCTGTGGACAGCTCTGCTGGCCGCCTTGGAATGATCTTCAGCTGCAAACAAGAAACAAGATTGGGAGCAGCTTTCCTGTGGCTGCCGTCACAGCCCCATCACCCCAAGAGAAAGGCCTGACATGTCAACGATGCAGCTTGGGCTAAAAAGCCTTTCAAGTCCCTCACTGGCCTGGCTGGAAGGGTTGTGACTGCCAACCCAGGGATCACCCTGCAGTCACCAAAGCAGGCACCTTTGCTGGTAGTGGCCTGAGCAGAGGCCAAGCAGCTAACTGAGTCCTCAATAGTGCTCTGCCCTTCCTGGCCTCCAAACCAGGCCTGGGGTCATCTGAAGAGGTTGCTGAGAGAAGTTCCTCCATGTTATACCACAGCCACCATCACCTCTGTGCTAGAGGAGCAGCCCAGGCTGTGCTGCAGGTGGTCTCTGCAGAGCCTCAGTCCCCGTTGTCCTACCTTCCCCTCCCAGCAGCACGGACTTCATGGCACGTGCCTCCCGCAGCAAGTTTGCAGGGTCAGAGCCTTGCTTTGCTCTGGCTGCACCATACCAGGGGATCTGAGCCAGCAGGGTGAAGCCTGGAGATCAGCGGAGAGCTGGTATAATGGCTCTTTCCTCTCCCAAGAGGTCACGGCAGGAGGAGGGGACGTCATTACCGTGCCACCACACCATTACTGTCAAGGGTACTGAGTAGGACAGCCCGAGGGCTGCTCTACAGGACAGAGCAGTCCTTGCTGGAACCTCTCCAGAGCCTATTGCAATACAAACCACCCCAGGGCTCTAGCCCTGTGCTGCATGGGAACTTCCTGACTGCCACGTGTCATCCATCAGCAAGAGAAGGGAGCAAACTCTCCCAGGAGTTACCTGTCCATGGATGTCTTTGCAGTAGCCGGTGGCCAGCCCCTCTGCCCACAGAATGAGGTTGCTCTGGTGACACAGGGCGTTCACGACCAACTCATTCTCTGTATCATCCGAGTTCTCACTGCTGTGCACCAGCACTACGACGTTCCCCTGGAGCAGAGAGTGCCAGAGAGCAGTTAACTCCTTTGCTGACAGTCACCTCCAGGTCATGGGAGGAGATAAAGGACCTGCACTCGCACAAACACAGCGCGTCCTAAGTTACCGAGCCCCCTAGCTCCACTGCATCCACACCAGTCTGGGTCCTGAATCAGAGAGGTGGGAAAAGAACCAGGTTACATAACACCTTCTCTCCAGCCTAAAAATACATGAAGGTTGTGTTACAAAGCAGCTGCTACCAGCTGCACTGATCTGTAAGCAGATTCAAAAGCCTCAGAAACACTAAGCAGAGAGCTAGCCCTATTTGGGGTCAGGAAGGAACTGTACCCTATGGTCAGACTGGCACAGACTGGAGGGGATTTCACCTTCCTTTGTAGTGCAGTGTGGCTTCTTCCTGGGATCTCTGGAGCATGTATTAACAACCTTTTATAGAAGCAGGTCACTGGCTGCTGTGGCCTCCCTGCTTTACCTGTGGCAAGTTCAGGGGCGATGCCTGGTGTTGTGTCAGGGCTGACTGTGTTGTTTTGCTAAGAGGCTGACAATGGATTTGCGTGGGATGGTTTGGACAGGGTGATCCTGCCTCTGGAGGTCCCTTCCAGCCGACTTTTCTCTGACTCTGTGAAGAGAGGCACTGCCGGGGGGATAGTTCCCATCAGTCATGCTGTGGGAGATGGGGTGGGGAATGGGGGAGTTTTGAACAACCCAGTGCTACTTCCAGATCATGTAAGTCTGCCTCAGCCCACATTGACCTGTTCATTAACATATTTTTTGCTGGCTTTTTTCTTTTTTTAATGAAAAGGCCTGATCCAGCTGTAACAGACTCTCCCCCATCTCCCCAGGGCAGCCAATACTGATTATAAAAGCAGTGGGTGCTGATTTTTCCCCACCAGCCTCCAGACCTCCTCTTGTGCTGTTTCACATCCTGCTCTCCCCTCAGTGTCCTGCCTAGTGAATCCATTCTTACCCTTAAAGAAGCCCCATTCAGGTGCTTGAAGGTCACCCTGTCCCCCACAAGTTTTCCAATGCCCAAGATCTAGTCTCTTGCTCTATCCAAGATGCTACGGAGAACAGTTCAGTTCAGGCTGCTGTCAGAAGAGCCGGAGACATGTAACCGGTATGGCTGAGGTACAGCCAATCCCATGTCTGACCCTCAAGACCCCACCAACTCTTTGCTTGGGAAAAGAAGAGATGAAAAATATTTCTTTCTTCCATCTGCATAGAGGACATCACTTTGCCCCAATAACCAGTTATCCCTCAGTGTCCTGGAGCAGGGATGGGGAGACCTCACTTTCCTGGCCACCAAAAAACACCCTGGTGTCATGGAGCACAGCGGATGTTAAACAGCACAGAGCCACATCTAACGGCTGGAGGCCAACCCCACTCTCGCACCATGGTGATGCTCTGAAATACCTCTGACTAATTCAAATGGGAACTGCAGAAGGAGTTTGGGCCCATGCCTGAGCTGGAATTGGATCAGTATCCCAAAGGGCAAAGCCCACTCAGCTCATTAGTACCCAACAGCAGGCAGCAGCTCTGCCCCGTGGAGGAAAAGCAGTGGTTGCTAATCCCAGGCAAAGCAGCGCTGATTGAAGGGAAGAATGCCGCTGAGAAGCAGTCTGGATATTCAACTTCTGTCTGGGCTAGTTTGGACAGGGCTGACCCTGCCTTAGGCAGGGGTTGGACTCAATGACTTCTAGAGGTCCCTTCCAGCCCCACGTCTCTCTGATTCTAATTGTGGGCAGGGGGAGCAGACAAGTCCGGCCGTACCTTTAGCTGAGAGCACACGGTGGCCCTGCAGTAATGGATGAAATCCAACACATCCACTGGCCTCATGCCCAGGCTGAGCAGGACACTGACATCATCCACGAGCAGCACAGGACACTTCCAGGAATCACTCTCCGAGGGCGTCAGGGATGTGCGGACAAACTCGTACAGGGCTTTCAGGTTAGAGCCACCCTCTCTGGAAGAGAAGACAAGTGTCCCTGGGCCTGGTGCGCCTGCTGTACTGGCCCTGCTCTCATTAGAAGCTGGTGCAACTAAAGCAGCATGACCTCCTCTGTGACAAAAAGCAGCTGTATCTGATGCAAAGGTGCTTTGCACTGGGACAAGCACTGCTAGTGCAATGCAGCCGTGACACACTGCTTCTGTCACGCTCATTTCTCCATGGGTGCAGACAAGAGCACTGCAGAGTGCACAGAGAGACAGGAATAGCTTATTACTACTGAAAAGCTCTGTCCCATGTCTTGTAGGGGCCCCTGCAGCTGTACAACTGCCCTGTGCATCTGAGAAAGTTTCCCTCTAAGGATCCCCTTCCAGTAGCTCACCCAGCCTGTCTCCAGGCCAGAAGCCCCAGCCTGTCCCCAGGCCAGAAGTACAGGGAAAGGGGCCCACTCCACCCTCAGCCCCCAGCAGAGAGCAGGATGGAGCCACTTCCTTCCTCAGCAACCAGGAGAGCCCCAGGTAGGCACAGTCACAGCAACACAGTGAGTATTTCAGGGTTTCTGAGTCGTTTCCATTTGAGAGTGTGAATTGAATGCTGGACGTACAGCCTTGCAGATATCTAACCCTGTTTATCCAGGCAGCAGTGGGATAGGCACAGAACCAGCCTGACATGCACTGCCCAGAGCTAATGTGCCAGGGAGGCAAAGTGCCAGCTGACAGCAAGCCCAAGCAGATAGCCAGCGGTGTAACTGCTTACACCACCTGTCCAGCTGCAGCCCAGAATCACATCATGGCAAGGTTGTAGCATGCCCATGTACTGCAGCAACCAGAGGTGGAAGTCAGTCGCCTGTCAGAGCTCTGGGCTGCTCCGATCAGAGCCCAGAAGCCTCCCAGGCACATGCAGACAGAGCGAACGTGCAAGTGAACCTTGTAGGAAGCATGTGGGAGAAAGGAAGGGCTAAGGACTGGCTGGTCAGTGCCAGGCATGGTGCAAAAGGAGGTAAGAAAAACTTCTTCACTGTTAGAGCAGGGAAGCGGTGGGATAGCTGCCAGGGAAGCTGTGGACTTCCCATTGCTGGAGGTGTTCAAGGAGAGGTTGGACGGCCACTGGTGGAGGACGGTCTAGGTGTAGCTCTGCTGTCTTCTACCATGGGGACTTTCCAGGCTTCTGGGCTGTAGTGTTTGCCCCCTTCCCTCCTTTCTGCTATTATGTCACAGTTGTTTTAAGCCTCCCTCAGAGGCATTAGGTGCTGGCTGCAGCCCAGGTTGGGAATGGGGACTGGGCTGTGCCAGTACTCCTGCTGGGACTCAGCCCTGGAGGGTCCTAGCTAGAGGGTCTTGCCCCTCCACTTAAATTCAGACCAATGCTGCATTTGGGGTCAGGAAGGGGCTTTACCCTGGGGTCAGATTGGTACAGACTGGACAGAGGTTTGCCTTCCTCTGTAGCAAGGGGTGTGGCCTCTACCTGGGATCTCTCGAGCCTATATTAACAACCTTTTGTAGAAGCAGGACACTGGGTGCTGTGGTTCCCCCGCTTTCTCTGTGGCCAGTGCATATGTGATGCCTTGTGTTGTGTCAGGGCTGATGGGAATTTTACAAACAGATTCAATTATGGATTTGTATAGGATGGTATGGACAGGGCTGACCCTGCCTCAGGCAGGGGGTTGGACTAGATGTGACCTCGGGAGCAACCTTCCAGCCCAACTTCTCTATGATTCTTTGCAATCCTCCCAGACAGGAGCTGCTTCTCACAAAGGCATGAGTCTTGGCTGAAGCCAATTCCTCAGAGTCTCAAAGAACAGAGAAAGCAAAGCTAGCAGCTGAGGGGGAAGACCCAAAGCCTGGTCTGCTCAGATGGGGAACCTGGACTGTACGGGTCCCAGCAGGGGGAGAGCAGAGGTGCTGGTGACTAAGGACAGGACAGATGACCTGTGGTGTTGGGCACTATCTCAAGCTTGGACTGACTCATGTGTCTGCACTTAGAAGGGTCAGTGCATGTGTTGCTACTACCAATAAAAGACTTGAAGAGTGATTGCCGTCACATGCAGCACCTGGAAGGAGGAGTCAGAAGGGAGCTCTGTTGCAACTGCTGCCACGTGGCACCAGCTACATTGGTCCCTGGGCTGGGTGCTGAGCCCACACACTGCTGCTTGTACTTTTCCTAAAGGCTCAGGCGGTTACCTGATAAACTGCAGAGGGCTTGGTTGTCCCGTGGGCGGCTCCTCCTTGAACAGGACCTCAAAGCAGGACTTCAGGCCTTCCAGGAACACAAGCTGTCCCCGTTCCTTGGCTGCAGGCAGGCTGACTCCCTGGGGACAGAAGGACATTACAACACCAGTGGCCTCACACAAATAACCATGTGCACCCCGGCCCTAATCTCATGTACTCTGAAGCCAGACCCCAGCTGACTCCCATGCAGCAGCAGAGACAGACAGCTCAGCTTTCCACACTGCTGGATGTACCCACTTCCTGCATTTTGCCAAACCCTCTGAAGCAACTGTACTGAACATTTTCCATGTCCTTTGGAGCTCAACCCCTCTAAATGACACTATTTGAAGGAGTCCTCAGTAATTAAAGGTGTCCTCGCAACACCTGTGGGATGCAGGTAGCATGATTATTACTTACAGCCGGAGGAAGAAAACCAACACATTAAGTACAGAGAAGGGCAACCAAGATGATCAGGGGTATGGAGCAGCAGCTGTGCCTGGAGCAAGGGAAAAGGCTGGGCAACTTCGTTTGGAAAGGAGGTTGAGGAGTCTTTAATGTCAGAAAGAACGTGGACAAGGTGAACACTCACCAAGTCCCAGGAAACAAGAAGTGGGGGGCACCCCTAAAACGAGCAGGAAACAGGATTAAAACCAACAAAAGAAAGGACTTCTGCAGGCAGCACGTAGCTGACTTGAGGAACTCCTTGCCACAACAGGCCGTAGAGGCAGATTGTATAGCTAGGTTAAAAAACGGACCAGACAAATTCATGGAGAACAGGGCTACTGGGAGCAATGGGATTAGAAGGGTCAGGGGTGTATCCTCTGAGAGCCCAAAACCAATGATGCTGGATGCTCGGGAGGGTCTGACGGGATGGCTTACATGCCCTGCACATATACCCACCCCGTAAAGCATCTTCTGCTGGGTACTGTGCTAAATGGACTGCTGCTCCGAACTAGGGTAGCAACACTTTGTGTTTTTCTGTGCTGAAGTGGTGCCCTCAGAAATCAAAACGCACACCAGCCTCAGAGCCTGGATCTAGAACAGGGCTCATGGCAACCAGTCCTGGCCCGAGACTTTCCCCCCATCTGAGCTCGTCGTTTTTCTCTACCAGGGCTCCTGGACACATTTCCATCCTCTGAGGCATCCGTGTGGGGGAACTTTACAAGTACTATCTGCTCAGGATGTGGCTTCAGACACCACTTGCAGCTGTTTGACAACAGTGTCTCCCCCAGCACAGCCAGGATCTGCCAGGCTCGGTGTGCCTCACATGTATGGAAAGTGGGAAGGGTGATCCAGGAGGCTGCTCCCTGCTCTTGCAGTGTTTCTCTAGGAAGCGAGTCAACATTGCCTCCACGTCAGAGATGGGAAACCCGATGCAGTGGGAACTCCCAGCTCATGCAATGTGTCGGAAACAGAACTGGAACAAGATGAAGATCTTCCTCAATCAACCCCATCCCCACCCAACCCCTGCACAAGTCTTCACTGGTATGGATTCCCAGGCAGGTGTTTTTTGTTGCAACACCCCTCTAGCCCTTCTGGGAAAGTCAGCGTGCCTAGCACACACAGCTTGGGATCAAAACAAGCCGGAGTCAGAATTCATCTCTGCTCCTCTGTTAGGGCAGCTTTAGTTGCACCTGCTTGAGTGGTGACTTATAGGATTATTTGAACTTTTCTGTTATATTCAGCCTTATTTAACCATTGCTTCTCTATAGCCTCATTATTATTTGAGCTCTTCTGTTTCATTTTGTATCTGTGCTATCAGCGAATAGCCTTGAGTTCACTTTCATAGGGAGCTTACGTGCCAGCGTTATCAATATAGGCATGTACAAGGTCTGTTCAAAAAGTATCGAGACTAATGCTGTAGGAAACTAAATATTTTATTTACAGGAGTTTCAGCTTAATCTCCTTCAAAGTATGCTCCTTGTGCAGCCACACACTTCTCCCAACATTTCTGCCATTGTTGGAAGCACCTCTGATCAGCGATTTGTGGAATTGCAAAAGCTGCTCAGTAGCATTTTGTTTTATGGTTTCCACATCACAAAATCTTCTTCCTTTCAAGGTTTTCTTTAGTTGAGGGAAGAGAAAAAAAGTCACATGGGGCTATATCACATGAATATGGAGGCTATGGCACTTGTGGGATATGGTGTTTGGCTAAAATTTCGCTAAAAACTGCTTTGTAAGCTGTGCTGAGTGGGTAGGCGCATTGTCATGGTGAAGCATCCAAGAGTCGGACGCTCACTTTTCTGGTCGTTTTTCTGATTGTTTCATTCCCAAATCGCCGGTTAAAATTGAATGACATGAACCAAGAGAAATTCCAACTTCTTCTGCTATCTCTCAGACAGTCAATCGCCTGTCATTTCAAACCAGACTGCAAAGCACTGCCACATTTTCATCATTTTGTGATGTTGAAGGGCATCCGGAATGCTCATCACTTTCAACCAATGATCGTCCTTCTTTAAACCGACGATACTGCTCACAAACTCTTGCATGGCTCATAGTGTCACACCAAATGCTATTTTAAGTAATTCAGATGTTTCACTTGCCATTTTCCCGATTTTCATGAAAAATTGAACGCACAAGCATTGTTCTGGACACTCTGACACAACAAAAGGGGACGTGAGAGACAAACGATCTTACTTCAACCGCTGGCCACAGAAAACCAGGGAAACACCATGAGCTGCCAACTTGTCCAGAGGAGTCCCAACATGCCCAGACATGTTCAGCAAAACCATGCCCCCTCACCCAATAGTTTGTACCACAAATACACATTCCGTCTTGATACTTTTTGAACAGACCTTTACAGTGTGGCCCTTGTTACTAGCTCAAATTAACTGAACTTGGCACTAACCAACTAAATCAAAGGGATGACATGATTGGATATGTTAATGAAAGGTGATAAGAGGGGACCAACTGGACAGTGCCCAACTGCAGAGCCCTTTGAATTTCTGGCTTTTATGGACAGACTAAATTAGGAGTCCAGGGCATGCCCAAATTAAGACACTGGGAAAAGATCAAAGTAAAATGTGTGCATATGATGGGTTTGTTGGAACAAAGGAATAGGGTGACAGGATAAAAACATGACTAGTATGATGATGCTCACAGAGAAATCAATCAATGGGACCTGGAAATGAAGAGTCATCGGAGGAGTAAAGTTAAAGAAAAAGCATAAAAGGGGGGGTAACAAGAAATTTGGGTATGTGTTGTCATCCAAAAACAGCCGTTACTCACAGACGACCACCCTCTACTTTCAGGAACTGATTGGCCATCTTTTCTATGATGTGGAATGACATCTGGGATTGGGTAAGACCATTGAACTAAAGGTTTTTCTTTCTCTCTATGTAGAAAATATTAATACAGTTCATGTGTTAATACAATTAGATTTTAGTTAAGTTGAATGGTGTGAGCCGTATTCCATGTTCCCTCTGGGTTGATTATGCTTTAGTGATCCTTTGGTGCCATGGGTGCATAACATCCCAAGTGTGGAAACTGAGGTAGAAGGGACTAAACTGATGTTAGGTTTAACCGCATTAACTTCCTTGGACTGGCATCAGGCTTGGATTAGGTTCAGTGAGATTTAGGACTTGTCTTCAATTAACAGATCGGGGCTTGGCATGTCCCCAGAACAGCAGTCAAGCTACGAATGGCGATAGGGTTAGCTTCTGAGCAGCAGCTGTGACCAGAGATACTCGATCCCTCTACATGACCAGCTCCAGCATCAGGAATGCTTGGACTCCAACCTGCCCCCTCTCCTTTAGCAGTCCTGCTATCTGGAGCTTAAAGCACTGCTGACTCCAAGCCAGACGGGTATGCACACATGTAACAGGTGTCCAATCAGGGGCAAACCTGAGTTAACATCACAGCCAAGCCAGGCCTGAGAGCCCAGTTATGGGAAGGGCCCAGCATCTGTGGCTCCTGCTGACATCTGCCTGCCACTTTGGAAGGCTGGGTCCCCAACTCGCCCAAGAAGTCCAAGTCAATGACAGAGCAAGGGAAAGAACCCCAGCCTCCCAGGACCTGGTTCAATCTTCTTCTCTCCATCAACATGACTTTTTCTTGCTGAGTATCTTGTAGCACATCCAGCCTGTTCATAACTGGATCATTCTAGATGCTTGAGAAAAGCCAGACTCGTTTCAGACAGGCTCAAGCAAACACATTCCACATCTAAACATACCTCTCCACTGTCTTGTTTTCTGAGCCAGATTTTTAAAGCACTAATTTAACTTTGAAATGTGGGCTGCTCCACAAGGGTGAAAGTTTGCAAATGGACCATTCAGTCACACTGAACATTAGTCCCCTCTTCAGTGCAAGTGGCTAGAAGACAGAAACAACAGAAAGTCTACCACAAGGTGCCGCAAAACTCGTTTTAATGTGATACCTTATTGCTCAGTACTCCAAACTGGGGAGTCAGGCTAAGTTTGGTGCATTCTTGAATGCTACGAAAGAGGGTCTGGCACGTACAGGCCACAATCTTTTGGGATCTTGTATAACAATGATTGGTTCCATCCCTAAGCAAGCTGTACGGTGAGCCAGGTGCTCAACTGACCACCCACACAATAGAATAATAGAAAATGAGGGCTGAAGGGACCTTAGGAGGTCACGTCTAGTCCAACCTCCTGCTCCAAGCAGGACCAGCCCCAACTACATCATCCCAGCTAGGGTTTCCTTGAGCCAGGTCTTAAAAACCTCCAAGGATGGAGAATCCACCACCGCTCTGGGTAACCTGTTCCAGTGCTTCACCACCCTCCTAGTGAGAAAGATTTTCCTAATATCTAACCCCAACTTCCCTTGCTGCAGCTTGAGCCCATTGCTCCTTGTCCTGTCATCTGTCACCAGTGAGAAGTCCAGCTCCATCCTCTTTGCAGCCCCCGCTTCAGGTAGTTTAAGACTGCTATTCATTCCCAAGTCCTGTCCCCCAGCCCCCAAATTATTTTTGTTGCCCTCCACTGACTCTCTCCAACTTGTCCACATCCTTTCTGTAGTGGGGGCCCACAACTGGATACAAGACTCCAGATGTGGCCTCCCCAGTGCTGAACAGAGGGGAAGAATCACTGCCCTCCATCTGCTGGCGACGCTCCTGCCAACGCAGCCCAGGATGCTGTTAGCTATGTCGACTGATTGCCTGTTACTTGACTGCAGTCAAAAACTTCACAAAGCCAAAAATGCCCTTGTGTAGGTAGCAGCCTCCCTTGCATCCCAGTATCATCCATTAGCAAAGGCAGGAGGAACAGCTCCTCACCCCACAAGAGTGAAGATCCTCCCTCCCCCTCTCTCTCAGGAGCTACTCTGTGCTGAGGGAGGAACCCAAACCAGAACAGCCAACTTCTGTCCTCTACAGCTGCTGTGCCTTTCATTTCTGTTTAATTTCATTTGCAGCATTTCATAGCTGGTTGGACTGACCCGGGATTCTGGGATAAAAGGCAGGGAAAACTACCATTCAGTGCTGAATATCGCTCCCACTGATACTAACCTACCATCTGTTTGTTATACGCATTCATTACAATGTTGTACGATTCCATTTCCTTGTTTCACAATAACAGTTAACGACATCGGGGGGATTTGCAATTTATAAGCATCCAAGCTGCTAAAGATGAAAGTCTCTCTCTGTATTGATCTAATAAATCAGTGTTTAAAATACTTGACCGTTATTTGGCAGTATTTGATGGGCAACTGACCAAGTCTTTTGGACTGGTCACATACCCAACCCTAGCAGGCTATGAAGCAACTTTGGCTTCCTGATGGAACGGCAGCAATCCTCCAAGGTGGAGACCCAGGAGAGAGAAGACTCACAAGCAGACATCTGGTTTGTGAAGCTTCTTGCCTGCCCACTACGGCACCTAGAAAGCAGCTATTTTGCTAGCATCCACGTTACTACTTAATCAAAAGTCTTACACCTTGAATTTTTCAACACCGTTCTCTATAGAGAGTTTGGACTTCTCCCAAACATCACTTGGCCATCACAGTGCCCCTAGAAGACATGCACTGCTATCCTCAGTTGACCGATGAGAGACAGACACACGCACCTAAATGTGAAACGATCTGCCCAGAACTGCTGAGCAAGATCAACAGCAGAGCCAAGAATAGCCCCTACCTCTCCCAATTTCTAATCCCACCATTCATGCACCTCATCGTCCCATCCCCGATTATGAAACTCAAAGTTCAGGCAGCAACACAGTGCATTTTATTCTTTTTCCTCCTCTTATTAGAAAAAAAGCAAGTGTTAAGTGTCCGGTCTTTCAAACCTGTTCGTTCCAGCTGTCATGTTTCACCTGGTTTGGAAGCTTCCGTAAGAGCCCGGCCCAGGGACCAGCAGGAGGGAAGAGCCTGGGTTTCACCAGATAAAGCAAAGTCATTTCCAAGACATTAGCTTTGTGCTTTCTGCTTTGTGGATCAATATGCTCCTTCAGTGCTTATCAGGCCACCCGTGCTCTGCTAATGATATCAGAGAGAGATCTGCCCGGTCGGTG